CGTGGGCAGACCCTGGGAGTGCCAAGCACACCCCGTTCTGCTCAGGGGTGCTGAGGAAGGCCTCCTAACTCTGGAATCGGAGCAGTTGCTGGGGGGCACAGAAGCTCCCAGCTCTCGTGGTAGAATGCCCCCTCTCCCACAGTGTCCACGCGCTTCCCTGAGAAACCCCATTGCAGGTGTGATGACCAGCCAGACCCCACTAGTCCTGGAGACGCTGGGGCACTTCGAGGCAGTCCTGATGCACCCTGGCCTTGAGGTGCTCGCCTTACCAACCAATCCAATGTCCCAGTCTTACCCGGGGGCCCTGCAACTCCCCCACCACTGAAATGGCAACCCCTGTGGTCCACCCATCCTCTCCAGGGGAGCACCTTTGCTTGGAAGCCCAAATCCTGCAGCCCCACATGCCACCATGGACACCAGCTCATGAGGCCAGCCAGAGCTGGTTCCCGTGCCATCCCTCGAACCCTGCAGGAGACGCTGGCTCAGCTCCTGCTGCAGAAGGTGGCAGGCGCAGGTAGCGTGGTCAGGGGCCCTGTTTCCCCGGTTGACGGTCGAGGCCCATGGACCCCATCGTGCTTGCTCTTCCTGTCTGGGCAGTGGTGGCCGACAGCAGCCGGCTCTGTGTCACTCGGGAGGGAGCTGGAGTCAGCCCTCACTGCACGCCACTTCCAGTCCTCTGTTTGCTGCCTCCCCCGGGGAGCAGGACAGCGAAGCGCATTACATATTTCTCCATCTTTCTTCCTCAGTATCACCCGTACACTGTTTATTTGGTTAGCAAGTATCAGAGCAAGAATAGAATGACTGGAGATGCGTCTCTGAAGTTGAATAATGTTCAAGCCAAGCAGAAGTTCTTCTTTCCAGGGTCAGACCTCACTAACGGGGGGGGAAATGGGGCAGTGAGAAGATAGCACTTCATCCCCCAAGGAAACCCTGGGAGAGGCTGTTTCGTTGTCCTGCTCAGCAGGCCCGTTCTCTGCCTGCGGAGTGAGCCCAGCTTCCCCCAGGCATCTTTGTGACGGGGCCTACAGGGTTTCCAGGCAGTGACGGGCTGTGGGACCCCAGCCTGTGTATTCAGGTCACTGAGCTGAACGAGGGCCCTGTCTGCGTGAGTTCCCTTGGGCAGGGATCTGGCTGGGGCGGCAGCCTGAAGAAGGCGAGGGCCTGTCATTTTTGGCCGCAGTGTCCACGAATCAGCCGACTTTGCTGGCTCTGCTGGGCTCGGTTCTCAGGCGTGACGGCTGCTCTCAGTTGTCTGTGGCTGCCGGTCATCCTAGTGAGCTTCCTTCTTTTTCCCTTCAATCTCTGGCTCCTTCCTTAAAGCCGTTAGTATTCCTGTGCTTGGAAACCTCTGAGCACCTCCCTGCTCCATCGTGAAAATCAGGGTACGGGGCCCTGGGTGCCTCTCACCCAAAGAGGTCTACATTTAGAAAGACCTGAGGATCTCGGTAGAACAGAATGCTCCAGTCCAGAGACCCAGCCTCCAGCATAGGACAGTGTGTGAGACTCGGCCCCAGGTCTTCCATGGCCAACTGCTGTCGGATGATGTGCACATTTCTGCACCTGCAGGACCTCAAAGCAAAGTGACCCTGGACACACCCTGCACTGGGTCTCTCCCCAGCTTCTCGCCCAGCAGTGGGAGGCAGGCACAGCTGCACGCGAGAGTACCAGCATGGGTGCAGTTCTCCTTAGCATCCCCTTAGCGTCTCGCTGCTGCCCCGTGGGCTCGCCATGGTGTCACCACGCACTGTAGATGTCACGGGCACAGGCCCGCGACCGTGTGTGCCCCTGGGCATGTCTGCTGTGTTCTGGGGAAATGGAAATGCCACCACAGGCGTTGACTCAGGCGGAAGCTCCAGAACGTTACCCAGCTTCGCCGTTGTTGATTGTCTCTCATTAAAATGTGAGTATCACGCGTGGAATGCAGAAGAGGCTCCTGCTGCTGAGCCTCCGCTTTCTTTTCGGAGTGGAAGTGCCAGGGTATTTCCACCCACAGTACACTTTAAGCCGAAGTAATTTGTACATCTTTAACACAAACCCAGTACGCAAAAGACCGTGTTTGTTTAACTAGACACGTAAGTCGTGGTTATCTTTTATTTCCACTTTCACTGTGTAAGAGAGTAAACCTTTTTAACTATCAGGAAGGCGTTCAGCTTCCTTTTATCTCTTGCCTCGTTATGTACTTTTGTCTTTATTCAGATTTGTGCGCGCTTGGTTTTTACCTCACAGGACAGTGAGAACTAATCGCCCCAGAGGTGATTTGAGCTGTTTGTGTGAAGGTGTTTGAAGAAGTCCTGACCACATCTTTCCTAAAGCAGCCTCCAACTCCGATACAAAGAGAAATGCTGGTCCTTGCAGCGCTGGGGGCTGTGGTCCTCCCGGACATGAGCGATGGCAACAGGCCCATCCACACGGGGCCAGGGTGACAGGTCCCCATCCTCACAAGGCCGGGGTGACAGGCCGAACCTACATGGGGCCAGGGCAACAGCCCCTTCTGCACAGGGCTGGGGTTGAAACTGAGAGTCATCCTGGACCCCAGCTTCGTGGTTCACCCCCAGATCTTCCCCACACCATTGCCATGTTCTCACTGTTGCAGCCTTGCTTGGGGGCAGCTGTGGTGCCTTCTGGCTTCTGGCCAGGGCCGCCCCACCCCTACCAGTCACACTGTGGGACGAAGTGGCCCTTCCCGTCCTGACATGTGCAGCCCTTGCCCACCTTCCTGTGAGTCTCGGTCCCCCAGGCCCTCACTCTGTATCTGTGTTCACACTACATGTGTTGACTCTGCATCTGTGTTCACACTGTGTTCACACTGCATCTGTGTTCACACTGTGTTCACTGTGCATCTGTGTTCACACTGCATCTTTTCACTTTGCGTCTATGTTCACACTGCTCACTCTGCATCTGTGTTCACACTGTTTTCACACTGCATCTGTGTTCACACTGCATCTTTTCACTTTGTGTCTGTGTTCACACTGTGCTCTGCATCTGTGTTCACACCATCTGTGTTCACACCATCTGTGTTCACTCTGCATCTGTGTTCACACTGTTTTCACAGTGCATCTGTGTTCACACTGTGTTCACATTGCATCTGTGTTCACACTGTGTTCACACTGCATGTGTTCACACTGTCTTTTCACTTTGCGTCTGTGTTCACACTGTGTTGACTCTGCATCTGTGTTCACACTGTGTTCACACCATGTTCACTCTGCGTCTGTGTTCGCTCTGTGTCTGTGTTCACACTCTCTTTGTATCCCTGTTCATACTGTGTTCACACTGTGTTCACACTGCATCCATGTTCACACTGTGTTCACTCTGCGTTCGTGTTCACTCTGCATCTGTTCACACTGTTTGTGTTCACACTGTTTGTGTTCACACTGTTCGTCCTACACCCAGGATGGCTCCGTTGCATCCTCTCCATGGACCTGCTCCACCGGCCACCCATGCCTTGTGTGGACAGTCAGGGATGGTGCTCCGGCTGCATCACCTCCTGTGCAGGGCTGCGCTTGCAGGCGAATGCAGTCTTTTTTGGACTGTCCTGGGGCAGCTTGTGTGTGTCGAGGAGAGGCGTTCTGTAGATCGCAGTGCGGTCCTCCAGGGGAGCCCAGGAAGAAGGGTGAAGGACCTGTGGGAGCTGTGGAGTACAGGGACTTGTTCCATCTTTTCACAGAAGCCTGAGGAGCAGCATTGTCTGTGAAGGGAAACTAGAAAACTTCCGCCCTTGAAGCCTGGGAAGTCCCGGGGAAGCCTGCCATGTGTCTGGGACCTTGAGAGGCAGGGAAGGAGGGGAGTCATCTGGAGAAACCAGACCCAGCACCAGGGCTTCACAGTAGGGGTCCACAGTGCAGGAAATAACACTGGGATGTGTCCTGCTCTCCTCGGCCCAGGGGGCGGGGGCGAGCCTCCCCTTCAGGGCTGCATCCTCCATCCCTGGAACAGAACCCCAGAAAATCCACCCCTCCTGGAGATGATGAATCCTTTCCATGAGGGGCCACCAGTTGGAAGCCACAGAAGAATGAGCACCCCAAGCAGAAGCAGCCACAAAACAGTCTGAAGTGACTCCAAGAGGCACAGGTTCAAACTGCAGGAGACGGAGGGGAGGAGAGCATCCAGAAAGAGCCAGGAGGGCCACGCAGTGGCTCACGCCTGTCATCCCAGCACTTTAGGAGGCCAAGGCAGGTGGATCACCTGAAGTCGGGAGTTCAAGACCAGCCTGGCCAACATGGTGAAACCCCATCTCTACTAAAAATACAAAATTAGCCAGGCATGGTGGCACATGCCTGTAATCCCAGCTACGTGGGAGGCTGAGGCAGGAGAATCGCTTGAACCCAGGAGGTGGACGTTGCAGTGAGCGAAGATCATGCCATTGCACTCCAGCCTGGCCAACGAGCAAAACTCCCATCACAAAAAAAAAAAAAAAAAAAAAAGCCCCCAGAAAGATTTGAGAAAGAAGAGTAGACGCAGGCATGTGAGGCACAGGGCTGCGCCTGAAAGGACAGACTTACCAGCGAAGGAAACACAGGCTAGGCCCTCGGGAGCATGGGAATCGGGACGGAAAGTGAGCCCTGAGAATCCCCTGAACACAGCGCAGCCGTGGCGGAGGCAGGACGCATGGATGTGGCCTTTCGGTGTTGGGCTGGGGTGGGCTGTGGTGCAGTCTTACGACAGTTGATGTTTCTGGAAAATGTTTTCGATAGTGCTTGATGATTTAGGTGCAGCCGTGCCATCTGTGAGTTTTAGAAAGGGACACTGTCCCTTGGGCTGCTTTGAGCTGTGATGCAGACTCTCAGAGCGCACGTCCTAGAGGCCAAAGGTCGAGCGTGGATACAGGGCCTCGGCACGTCCCCGTCTCACCAGTCCTCCTTTCTGCAACACGGATGATTGAGACACACGTGCCCGTGAAGCACCACAGGTGTTTGACCGTTTAGAGTCAGTAGGTATTTGCTTTTGCGATGTGTGGAGGCAGAGCCCAGAGGTTTACTAAGCCCCTGTTCTCACTTTTGCAGTGCCATGGAGGTCCCAGCCCCTGCTGAGGTTCTCAGAGGTCCCGAGCCCCTGAAGCAGTGTGCAGCCTGGCTGAATGCCTATTTCCAGCAGCCTGAGGCCATCGAGGAGCTCCCCGTGCCGGCTCTTCACCACCCCATTTTCCAGCAAGGTCGGTGACTAAGCTATCTGCGGTGTGTCCTTTGGGGAGCTTGACTTCTTAACAATCACTGACATCATGGCTCACTTTAGTGAGTATACCAGCTCGGTATTTTTACATCAGCTAAGCAGAGACAGCATGTGGCCAAGCTGGAGGCACCGGGCTCCGCCGCCTCCACCCATTCCAGCGCGGTGTTAGTTTTGGCACAGGGTTGCATAATTCTTGGCAAGGCCATAAAAATGATGCATGCAGATCGACTCTTGACTCTCGCTGGCTGAAAGGTTTAAATAGGAACACATCTGAATGGCAGTAAATTTTTCAATAAGGTTATTGTGAGCTAAAAGTATCTGCTTGCCAACAGCACAGAAAATGAGACTCATGCGTGGACACTCAGCCACTTCCATGCACTCAGTTGGTGACACTTAGATCATAGCAGGTAGCAGCCTTGGATCCCCTTGAATGAGTTTTAATTTCTCAAACCACAATTAGATATATTCTTTCTTAAGAGATGGCTTGGGAACCACCTGTATATAGCCTGCTTACGGCTTGTGATAACCTAAAACATGTCCCAGGTATTTCTTTTAAAGCTTTTGTTTGACTCTGCTCAATACAGAAATTAATCACAGCAACTAAAATCATTCTAGACACATACCAGAAATTTATTTTGCATAGTGATATTTTCATAATCGTTTTTGTATAAATGAATGTATGTTCATATGTGATGTCTGTGTGTAGTTATACCCATATATATCCTTAAAGGGGAAAATAACCTTGAGGTTTTAGATATGGTGAATTTAAAGCAATTTTGAATTTCAAATGGGATTTGCTGGGTAAGTTTAATGGTATTCTAATTGCTGCTGTGCTTCTCAGCACAAAACAAACTTGAAAACAGAGGGAAGTTTTCAGGGGAAGCAGGCAGAGAAACCCCTGAAGGTTGGGCTAATACCTGAGTTCCCTGACGAGGTCAGACAGGCAAGCAGATGAAGCCGTGAGCATGTTTTGTGCATAACGAACTGAAACCATACAGCTGTAATGAACTGGGCACTGTGCTGTCCTCTGAATCATATAGAACTGTCTCTAGAAGGGTTCAGTGGGGGTCTCTGGGGTGGGCGAGGGGGAAGCTAGAGTGGGTGGGCCTTTACATGGAACCACAGACATCCAAGAAGCCTCTCATCATCTGTGCCCACCAGTGGGTCACTGCCAGGACAAAGGCACTGCCAAAGCCTCCTGGGCCACTGCCTGCTAGGGGCCCACCTCTCCCCAGCACCGCAAGCCAGTGAGCCAAGCAGACGGTGTGGGGGACCCGCTTCCTGTGCACGTGACAGGCCGGGCACAGGGCAGGCTGTTGCTGCGTGCGCAAGGAAGTCAGAGATTGGTTTTGTTTGTTAAAGTTGGGCTTGGGGCTCTTAGAGTGGGGAACTCTTCTCTATACGATCTCTGTTTGGGGGTTCGCGTGCCAGGAGGAACAAGGCTGCAGAACTGCCCAGCAGGCTTTTTTCCTCCTTAAACCTGAGCTGCAGTGTAAGCGCTCAGGACAGAAAAGTTATCTGATAGAACCAGGCCAGGAGGTTTCTGCGTATTCAGATGGAGGCCGGAAGAACGAGCCTGCAAACTCCTGAAAATCACCTAAGGTTTGTTGTGTGACTTCATGAAAAACGTAAAGGCAAAAGTTGCATGAAAATCATGAGTTTTCTCCAGGTCGTGTGGTGGTCCTGGCCGTGGAGCTAGACCCTGCTGGCCTGGTCTCACCAGGGTCCAGAGAGCAATGTGCGCAGGCAGGCCAGGAAGAACCACAGGAGGAGGCCTCTGCCGCTGTGACAGGTACTCCGGGACAGGGGTGGCCGGCAAGGCAGGTGTCGCTAGGAGTAATCAGACGGTCTCCAAACCACCCCTGCAAGCACTGAGCCCCAGCGAGCCTCTCCACCCTGACTTCTGCCTATGGCAGTGTTTGCTGCTCCTAGACCTGAGGACAGACACACGCCTGGGGCTCCTTGGTCAAGCCCCTACTGCTTAAACAGAGTTGGGATTGGCTACGCTTACCCCTCCCTCCCTGACTTTCAGCCCACACCAGGCCAGGCTGCTTCCTGGGCTGGCAGGTCATGATAGGTCTTGGTGACCAGGAAGACCTCAAAGTAGCCACTAGGATACTGGGAAAGGCTATCTGGCTACCCCATAGCCCCGCCCCGCTTGGAAAGCCCTACAGTGCAGCGGGTACCTCCAGCTGGGATGAGGTCCACTCCAGCAAAGTTTTGGGGTGGGAGTGTGACAGCCTCTCACATCCTTCTCTCTTGGTGTTCTGGGAACTCTGAGGTTGGCCGCAGGCCCAGGGTGCTGAGCTCTGGGGTCTTCTCTCTGGGGTGGGAGCTGGAGTCCCCTGCGCCAGGTCTGCCTGCAATGGTTAGTGGTGTGGTGGGGGCTGCGATTCCCCGCCACAGCATGTGCAAGCCAGGTCTTTAACATCTAGCTCAATCATTGACTCCTGGGCAGGGGCCAGGTGTGCGGATTTTACTGTTTGAAGAAGGGGAGATGGATGGTGGATGTTTGCTAACAGGGAGTGAGTTGGTTCTCCCAGATGTGGATATGCTCCTTTCTGTCCGGATGAGTTTGGTTTGCTCTCTGTCCAGTTTGTATCTCATAACACCAGTGAAATCAACAGTGAGGGGGTAGGTCTTTAGGGGAAAAGTCTTCCAACATCTCAGAGCTCTGTGGAAGCTGTGGAGTCATAGAAATCAACTTGCTTTGCAGACTGAGAGGAACGGGCCAGTTGTAACGTGGAGTGAATGTTTCCTTGGCCAATTCCCTTTTCTGTGCATTTTAATTTTTGTATATGTTTAGCATGCTTTTGCATATCATTTTTCACCATATTCTCACTTCTGAAATTTAGACCAGGTTTGTCTATTTCAACCTGTTCTTTAAAATGAGATTGTATTTGAGCTCAACCTTGAGTTCCCACACATTGACCCTTTCTTTCTGAAGCCCTGGCTTGTCAAAGTTCTGGCTGCACAGTGCCAAGCGCTCACCCCGTCCCCAGGCCTGTCCTGCCACACGAAGACCCTCTCTCCTGTACACGCCTCTTTGTGGTACCACCTCGCCTTTCCAGGATTTCTCTCTGCAATGAACATGCTGTTCTTGATTTTTTTTAAGGCTAGCCACAAAAATATGCATTATGTTGCACCATAGGAAATTGCTATTTTTGAGGTTAAAACTTAATCAAATACTAAAAATTTCAGATGGTTCAACTTCTTATCTTGGAGAATGTCCAAAGACAGAAAGACAAGTTAGTAACTAGGTGGTTGTCGGGGCATGCCTGCCAAGGGACAGTGAAGGTGCCTTCTCCGACCAGGTGTCTGGAGGTCCCCAGGGCTGCCTCATTGTGAGATCAGGACAGGTAGGATTTCCCAGTGGGAGGTCCCACAGCTCTGGAAGGAAGCCCCATGGTCCTGCTGAAGGGGTGAGGGGACAGCTGAGCTGTCCAGTGAGGCGTATTCTGATTTCTCGTTCAAGTGTTGTTTTAGTCAGCTCATTTCCTAAAATAAAATGAGTCAAAGTTGTCTTGGTTTGGGGTTTTTTGGCTTTTTTGGTGTTCTTTCAAGTGTCAACAAAATCCATTTGCTAGCTACTCTGTGACCGGGACCTCGCATCTTGTCACGCAGCGCAGCTTTTCAGGGAGGTCATTTTTCCCCCATAAGCCTCTCGCAAGGGTCAGCTTTGTATTTATTTCTCATTCATTTTTCCTCAAGAAATACTTAATGAAGCCATTATTTTTGAAATACATTCTTACTTTTTTCTTTTATAGTGAAATATCAGTTAAACTTTTCTCTGAACACTCCCTGATTTCTTAGTGTTTGTTTATGAAAATGTTTCCCTTCTGTATTTAATATGCCTCCTGGAGCAGCAGCCAACTCAGTTAGAACAAGAAATTCTTTCTACCCTAGTTTGCCAAAAGCCGCTTTTTAGAATGAGTTCAAGAAAAGCAGACCTGCAGAAAGCGAGGATGGACTTTCAGATACAGAACCCGTGTGGACACGTCCTCCGGTCCCTGAGCCCTCCCACCCACCGAGACCCGACCAGCAGGTGTGGCTGACCCCAGGCTGCTGAGGGAGGGCCTGTGGCTGGGGCCTTTCTGCTCCTGCCACGGTGGGACCAGGCTTGGGGCTGCCCACGCGAGGCTGTGGGAAACCTAGCAGGGACCCTGGCCTTCTCACAGATGAAGGCTTTCAACAGACGAGTTCTGAGTTTTCTTTGTAAAGTGACTGCAATGTTCCTTTTTAAATGAAATATTTAACACTTTAATAATTCCTTCGTCACAGCCATTGGCTTACAGCTATGAAATCCAGTTGCATGACAGCAGTAAAATCTCCATTTTTTCATACCTGCTGTGAGAAGGAAGTTTCTGTAACTTCTATTTAACTTCTATTACAGAGTCTCAGAAAAGATTCATAGTTTTGTATTTTTGTGTCTCCATTGAACTCCTCATTTCAAAAGAGCCTCTAACAGAAGCCCTGCCCCAGAGTTAAGGGAAAGGCCCTTCGGGGTGAGTTCACCGTGTTCCCACAGTGCCCTGGAAGACGGTCCCTCTTTGCTGGTGTTTCCAGCGGGGACCGCACGAGTCCTGGAAGGCGCATGTCCCAGGAGAGGATGGTGAGGGAGGGGAGGAGAGGAGGGGAGCAGCGTCACCCAGGTCCTCACCGGAGCCAGCCCCGTAAGATTAGAAATCCTT